ATAACTGATTTGCTTCTAACTGGAACATCTTTCAATGTGTACTAGTGATTAATGAATAATAAAAATAAAACAACTATCTTCAAGTATTGTGTTTCTTTGTTTTCATACAATATGTACAAGCTTTTATGTACATTTCAAACGTGTTCAGCCCAGACTCACACAAACACATACTTGACTTTTTTCTTTCACAAATGGTGAAGACTGCGTGATGGCTGATAGATGCCTTCCGTGATATCGCACATACGGAGGTCCTTTCAACACTCAGTAGAAAATAAAAGTCAAATAGGTCTGCATTAGAGAATCGCTGTTCGCCGATGGCTGTGCCCTGATGTTCTCTAATGAAGCATATCTTCAAAAAAGTGTATCACTAAAATAAAGCAAAAAAAGGGGGGGGGGAAATGATTTTCTGGGTCAGCCTTCTCCTAATACAGTAACTATGGAACCGGAGATACTTACAGATGACCAGAAACTAAGGATGTGAAAAACTTTGTCCATCTTGATTAATGACAACTTAGATGATGATGTGGTCAGTCTGTGGACTTCCATGTTGCACATATTAGAGCTTCGTTTGGCAGACTTCGAGAGCAAGTATGGTCAAGAAGAGGACTCAGCAAATCAACACAGTTGAAGGTTGCAGTCCTTCCCTCATATATATATGAAATGTTAGGGGGAGCAAATAACGAACGTTTGCCGTCATCTATCCCAGTATCTGAACTCCTTGATTCCTTCAATAGATTCTTCATTGGCAAGATTGAGCAGATTAGAAATGACATGTCATCCCTCTCATCACAGCTTGACCACTCTCCAATCTTTCGAAATTCTTCTTTTTGCGAGTTTCAGCGTGTATCTGAAGATTATGTCAAAAGTACTATTTTAAAGATGCCAAATAAGTCATGTGACCTTGATCCCATTCCAACTTCCTTGCTCCTTGAATGTTTAGATGAGCTTGTACCCACAATTACTAACATTGTGAACTCTTCACTGACTTCTGGCATTGTACCACAGCAATATTAGCATGCACTTGTCAGGCCCTTATTTTAAAAATCCAGTCTCTACTCGGAATGTCTAAAAAACTATCGCCCGGTATCAAATCTTTCCTTCCTGTCAAAGCTTCTGGAGCGCATCGTGTTAGCGCAAGTTCTTTCTCATCTTGAACAGTACTGTCTCTTGGAAGAATTTCAATCTGCATATAGGAAGTGCCGAAGCACAGAGACAGCAGTGGTCAGGGTACTAAACGACTTACTTCACAATTCCGATATAGGTCACATATCAATTCTTTCAATGCTGGACTTTGATACGCTAAACTATGAAATTATGATACCCAGATTCTCTGCCACTTTTGGTTTAGCAGGAATCGTACTAAAATGGCTTGGATCCTACCTGACTGAACGCACCCAAAGTGTCGTTGTTAACGGAACAGAAACAACAAGCTTACTCTTGAAGTACGGAGTACCCCAGGGATCAGTTCTAGGCCCAGCACTGTTCACTATGTATACATATCCACTCGGCGGTGTCATACAACCAACCGGCATCCTATAACATTTCTTTGCCGATGACTCACAGTTATACGATTCCTCAATACCCTCAGAGGTGTTGCATTTGGCAGAGAAAATCAGTAGTACTGTTGCAAGGGTGAGCAATTGGATGGTTGAAACTAAGCTCAAGATGAACGAAGACTAGACAGAAATAATTAAGATTGGCACTCGGAACAATGTCTCAAAAGTTGAAAGCACAGATTCTCTTTTTATCACGAACAGCCAGCTTCCTTATGTCCATGTAGTGCGGAATCTTGGAGTTTTCTTCGACTCAACACTATCTTTCGACCCACACATAAGTCAGCTCTGCAAGGGTCTTTATCTGCAGCTGCGTAGATTAGGCCAGATCCAACCATATTTAACAACGGAGTCAATAAAAACGCTAGCTGTGGCATTCATACTCTCCCGCCTTGACTAGTGTAACGCCGTGCTTGCAGGTATACCTGATGACAAAATAGCCAAGCTGCAACGTATACAGAACAATGCCGCACGAATAGACTTATATAAACAAGACAAGATTCTGCTACTATGCTCTTGCGCACGCTCCATTGGCTTCCCGTGAAAGCGAGAATCGATTACAAGGTCGCCACACTTTGTCATCAGTGTATATATAACAATGAGATGCCCCTGTACTGAACTGATTACTCTATATGTCCCCCAGAGAGCCCTGCGCTCAATGGACTCAACGCTTTTAGTGGTGCCACGTTACTCCCTCAAAAGCTACGGTCTGCGGGCTTTTTCAGTGCACGGACCAAAGGTTTGGAACTCACTCCCCATTGATCTCAGACAGACAACATGCTACACCACTTTTAAGAAGAACATAAAGACCTACATGTTTAAAACTTTTTTTAGGTTAGTACTTCATAGACTCTGTCGTGTATATGTTTGTAATGTTATTACAGCGCATTGAGCCAACATTTTTGTTTGTTACCAGCGCTTTATAAATAAAAGTATTATTATTATGATAAAGCTACACTCAGGGGGAGTTAACAGATGAAAGCTACACCCAAGCGCTGCCCCAATGAAAGCGGAATCACCACCCATGTTTGAGACATTGTGTCCATGAGCTCAAGGTGCTGTCAGTGTTGATGTCTTAGGTTAAGCGGCTAAAAGTAGAGACGTCAACAAATAAGTGAGATCAGACAAACCAAAGCAGTCAATAGATTGCAATAGACTGCCATTTGACTTTTCAAAGCTGACATCGGACTTCACAGACATTCTAGTTTCCCAGATCTTGCGATCTATCGGGCTTTTCTGTGCCCACGGCTAACTAGGGTGTTATGTGACCGACAGCCTTTACTTTTTCCAAACTAATGTTAGGTACCCATTAGAGCTTGGTGGACTAAGAGGTGCCCTAAAGATCCCGAAATACAAAAAAAAAAAAACATTCTTCACCAGCATAAGATGCCTGGACACCTCGGTTTGGGAGCCAAGCGTTTCACCACCGCGCCTTACTGAATCCTAGAGCTCATAGGAAATAAGAGTATGCGCATTGTTTACCATGAACGAGAAGCTTCTATGTTGAGAAAGATTTATTTCCAAGCAAGAACTTCCACTTCAACGATCCCTACTAGTCATATCTTCTGGTATTAGATAAAGACGCAATAATTAGATTTACTCCCCTTGACTGTGAAGTCACTTTGTGTGTATGTGTGTGTATGTACATTGACTAACTTCACAGACCCTCATAACTAAATAACAAGCTGCTTCTGATCACCTGCCAACTTGTCAAGTAGTTCACTGGAGATGTGAACATTATGTTTCAACTCACTGCTTATATTCAACATAGTTGTATCAATTAATTTTGATCAGTCATGTGATTAAATTTGTAATAGATCTAGACCAGGCATGTCAAACTCATTAAGGTGTATGGGCCGCATCAAAACTTACTATGGCTTGAGGGGCCGCAGCCAAAAATTATTGCAAAACAGCCTACTAGTTTTATGTAAATTAGATACAATACAATAGAATACAATAATTAATGGCATACCTGTACCTTAGCTAAATTTGTAGTACTATTTCGCAATAAAAAAGTTAATATGATTACGCATTATTTTCTTTGTTCTGATGGTTGACATCTTTTATGGGATAGAAGTTTATTAATGTCCAGGTTGACGTTAGTTTTCCACAGACACTTTCATCACTGATCACAAATTTTGATCAGATAATCTCGAACGTTGAGGTGCTTTTGTAGCTTTCAATATGGCAAAGAACTGGTCACAGAGATAAGTGCTTCAAATAGCAACTATTCTGGCTGCAAATTTCCGCAATTCAACGTACTGTTCAGGGTAAATAACTGTAAAATTTTGGCACAGCCAATTCTGTATACTTCGATTTCCACAAAGGATCTGACTGCTATTCTATCAGCTCTAGTTGCACATTGCCAGCAGCAGTTTCAGAATCAAATGAGAATGGATAGATACAAACATCGTAAATTCTTGCTCGTACGGAACGAAATCACGAAAACGGTCATTGAAAGCATCTACTAACGATTCCAGGTCTAAGACATATTTACCAAATGTTGTAGCCGTATTTAATTCTTTTTATTTCCTGACACGTTGAGAAGTGAACAAGATTTTCTCTTCATATTTGGTTTATCCACAGTCGTAATGTTGCTTCAAAGCACTTCACATGAACACACGCAGTTGTGACAATTTTGTCTTTACTTTTAAGTTTCAAATTCAAGCCTTGCAGGTAACCAGTGAGATCAACTGCAAATGCCAAATCCCGAACCCATTAGTCAGTTTCGAAATGTTCAACAGGTTCACCTTTCATGTTCAGAAACAATACAATTTCCTCACGCAGAGCAAAAAATCTCTTCAATACCTTATGACATGAGGAAATTTAAAATGATCAAGTCTCTTATTTTTTCAAGTAGCTTTGCATCAAAAACATGCTCGCTTGTTGTGGTGTTATGCATAGAACAGAGCTCAAGTAGTTTCTCATGTATCTCACAATTCCTGTCACAGGCCCTTATGAATATAGCCAACGTTACATCAGTTGACTCATGGAGAGTCAATAAAAATTCAAAATATTTAATTGTTCACCCTATCTGACTGACATGTCATTTATTCTATCTGCCACAGTGTTCCTAGTTAACGCTTTTGATGTGAATGCTTTCACCTTTTCTGGACAAATTACTTCGGCTTTAACGACACACTATTTCATAAAATCACATTCACTAAATGATTTTCTATGGCTTGCAATGAAGTTTAACAAAATGTAGCTTGCTTTCACTGAACATGGAAGATTGTCTAGTTATCTATTGTTTCTATGGTCTCGTCCTATTTTTCATGTTGTGTTCACTAAGACTCAGATGACTACCTGCAAAGGGGACTAATTCAGCTAATACCACCACTTCAGTCAAGTACAATTTCTTTTCCTTGTTTGAGGTACCAAACAAAATAACTAATTACCAATAGTTAATTAAAATAATTAATTACCAATAGTAAATTAACCAGTTGGTAATTTTTGTAAAGTTGATTTTTATTTTGTTAGATAAAAGAAATAATTGTACAAAGTTTCAGCTTGATCCGAGATAGGGTGTGGAAGAAATAATGTGTACAAATTTTTTACCAGACAGACAGAGTAAGTTGATATAAGCTTTGTAACAATACTGAAAAGAAACTGAATGAAACTTGATGAAAACTTGAGCTTTGCTTCATACATTTAATCTCTATATCTCTCTTTATATACATTTGCATATACATATCAACACATATATCCTACTATAGCATGGTAGGGCAACTCAAAGCTAATATATATATAGATATATATATATATATATATTATAAAGTGTAAATAAACTATAAAAAATATATACAAGTCACAACAACATTTTTGAGGTTTCAATCCAAACATTCGATTGATGAACATAGAACCAACAACAATGTCCTAAGCTGTGGTACTGACCTAGTTGAGCAAATGAGAAACACTCAATTTATATATACAATAGTTTAATAGCTAAATTCGAGATCAACTAAGAAAGAGAGTAAGAAAGGGAATGGGACATGTGGTGGTTAAGATATTCATTCATTAAAATCCAGTGATTGGTACTGCAAGACTCGATAATTATTGCAAATGTTACATACTAAAAGTTTGTCTTCTAGCCAATGTAGAACCAGTGTGGATGTGAATATAAATCAAATTGAGATATTGCTAGTCTCTCCTTAATCCATCTAAAAATAAATTATATTGTAGATGGTGCTGGCCTACCATTGACTTATCTAAAAATAAATCAAATTGTTGAAATTGCTGGTTTCCCTTTGATTTATCTATCCATAAATCAAATTTTAAATAATGCTTGTCTCCCTTGAGTCTCTAAAACTAAATGATAGACTATTTGTCTCCCTGATCCTTGCAGTGTTCCCCCCCCCCCCCCTCCAGAAAGTAAATATTGAACAAACAGTTTGTAAATCAACAAATTAGTTGTAAAACAAGATGTCAATCTACAGGGAAGCACAACATTTAAAACATGAAATATAAGATGACGCAAATAAAAGTTCATTAAAAGTATAATTACTATTTTTTCTGTTGCTTGAAATGTATTTGAAAATTATGAAAATAGATGTAAGATATATACATTCAACCAATTGGCATTGCAGAAGGAGAAATTGGCATCTTGATGGAGACAGTTTGCTGCCGAATGCGGCAGACTGTACATGATGATCTACCACAGTATAATTGTAGTACTGCACAATGGATTTAAACATGATATTCCAACATCAACAGTCATGGGGATCCAAGTCAAACCTTCCATTAATCTCTAGGACAAGAACAAAATTGTATAGAAATCTTAAAAAAAACTGAAAACTTTAAAAATAAAACTTCTTCACAATCATATTTTGAATTTCTGGTATTTCAATATCACAAAAGAATTAAGAATCACCCGAAATACATTTTAAAAAATGTTTTTTTTCAAAACTTCAATTAAAAAAAGATTTTTATGTAATAAAATTGCATCACAGGTGAATGTCTTTGAAACAAGAGTAAGAAAAGTAAAAAAAAAAAAGTAATGCCATTAAATTGTAACATCTGGGGAAGGGGGGTGGGGGGAATTCAGTTCCAGTATGTTTGTCATTAAGTCAGTCATTTCTATTGAGTCAGTTCCAGTATGTTTGTCATTAAGTCAGTCATTTCTATTGAGTCAGTTCCAGTAATGTTTGTAATCAAGTCAGTCACTTCTATTGAGTCAGTTCCAGTATGTTTGTCATTAAGTCAGTCACTTCTATTGAGTCAGTTCCAGTATGTTTGTCATTAAGTGAGTCATTTCTATTGAGTCAGTTCCAGTATGTTTGTCATTAAGTCAGTCACTTCTATTGAGTCAGTTCCAGTATGTTTGTAAGTAAAACAAGACAATGGGAAAAAAGTATTTCATTTGAATCACACTGAAAAACAACAAAATAATTGTGCTTGTTTAGCTTCATATTTACCATCACCATATAAAATGAAGGCACACTTGAGATGTCACAACTCTTTCAGCTACACTGACATATATAAATTTGAAACTGGTAAAAATTGTTATCAATAGTATTGCAAAAATATCAACAAAATTAAAAGTTGTGCCAAGAAATTACTTATTGCAAGACTTTGACAAGTGAACATTTAAATGTTCACTAACTTAGTAGGAGACAAAGGCAATTGTAAAATAAATTATGGAATGGATTTGAACAATTCGGTAAGAAAACAAGTGGGTACTGAACACGCGTTGAAATAAAATGTATTAAGGTACAAATAAAATGCTAGAATAAATACAATCTACCAAAGGCTTCTAACACTTCAATGATGATTACATAAATGAAGTTATTATAAAAACCTTTGAAGATTTTCAGCTTTCAATTAAGTCAATTTCAATTCCTGGTCATTGGACTCTAAATTTATCTCTGATCTGTTTCCATGATGCATGTTCCAGCAAAATATAAACCAGAGAATGTAATGCTAAAATCTTGTGTCTGGCATTTTTACCATTTTGAATGCAGTTTGCAGATAATGAGCAAAGTTGTGTGGCAAACAAAATAGTTATAAGTACAAGTAAACTAATTGCAACAACATTAGCAAACAGAAACATTAAAATATTGCTCAATCTAGGTCACATCATTTGGACGGTATCTATTTTAAAGTTTGTTAAAAATTTACTCCAAAATACAACAAAAAACATTTTGTTAACTAAAAATCTGCCCTTTAAGATATTTAGATGAGAAATATTTAATTTTTTATAATAAGAAAAAAAGCACTATTTTAATAAGAAAAATGTTTTTGAAATACTTTAAAAAAAAAAAGCATATCAAAGGGGAGAATTTGTACCAAATAGACAGACTCAGAGAAAGTTGATATCAGCTTTGAAAAAATTAAAATTAACCTTTATGTTCAGACTACTGTGTGAACATTATACAATTCTTTCTTATTTGTCTGATCTCTGTCTTGGCTTCTCTCAGACTTTTGATTTATATTTTGAGCAGATTTGCTGTGAAAAGGCATGCTATAATCTGGCATGCTTTCTAGACTCGCAGTACTTCTTCTATGGAGAATAGCTTGAGGACCGCTGTTTGAGCACCGGCTGTCTGTATCTAAATATGCAGAGCCTGACTTGACAGCCATTTCTTTCTTTTTGGTATCATCCTCATCTTCTTGATTAAAAGTACCGACCTGCGGAATGATGCTGAAGTCATTAAGAGACTGTAGCGTGAAACAATTATTAGAGCCACTGGATAGTATTGAGCCACTTCTCAAAACCGAGTCAGAGCCACTACTGGAGTCTTTGTTATGGGCAACTGCAAAATGCTCCTGCCTGTATTGATCATTTCTATTACTGGCTGCTAACGGTGCCCCTGTCCTTTTTCTTTCCAGTGACTTATAATTCAAATTCTGATCATGAAATACAGTGTCATTACTATCAGTGGAACCTTGTTTTTGCAGCACTGAGTTCTCATTATTGTCTTTCTTCACTTTTTGTTTAGGTTGGTGTAGAGGAGGAGAATTATCGTGCTGAAATTTGCAGTCAGTGTGACTGTGGTTGGAGAACTGGTCATTAGGGGGCAGCAGTTCTTGATAAGAATCCTCCCTGAACACTTTCTTATCTCTCAGCTCATGCAGCACATGATCCAATTGAAGTCTTTGCAAGATGTCCGGCAGCAGTTTGAGAAACATGTCTCCTCCGTGTCTGCGCATACATTCTTCCACTAGTCCATTCTGCAACTTACCATCTGATGTATACCTGAACATAAGAGAATGCAAATTTTTTAAAATTTACAAGAATAAATGAAAATACACATTGCAAATGTCAAAGTGTAATTGAAATCTAAGTTTATTGTGGTGAACTTGAACTAAAATTAGTCATGGTGAGACAGAATATTTATGTAACTTTCTCTCTACCTTCTGTGAAGGATCTTAAGATAGAAATAATGGTCAGACTAAATTTAAGTCAGATGAAAGAAGATATTGGGAGACTTTTATATAAGGAGGCAAAGCCTTTAATAACAAGCTTTTTAGTTTATCTGGTGTACAGAATATAGGTATTGATAATTGAATAAACTATAGAATGAGTTTTTTTTCACTTTTCAGAATTGAAAACATTTCTGAGCTCTTTCGCTAGCAACTTGAAGTACTTTATATTAATTAGTTAAAACAAAAGTTCCCCTTTCAGACCTATAGGGCAGATGATAAGGTCACCTTTTTTTTTGGCCGAAAGTTAACGAGAAGGGCGTCATGTGGCCAGCATTACAACCAACCACCTTTACTTTCACAACTATTGTCAGGTAAGTATTAAATTTGGGTGGACTCAGAGGCGCCCTAAAAATTCAGAAATTCAAAGTCCTAGTCTTATTTTTTCTCTCTTACTGCATTGTATTTCTCAATGATGTAAATGGGATCTTAAAACTCAAAGAGTTAACAAAGAGCAGATTACTGCGATTAACTTTTGGTGTAAAATTCCCAATAAATGAACAAAATGTTCATTGTCTTTTTTAAGTATGATGAAAATGAATTTTTCCAGAAAGTTTGAGAATAACTAAAATAATCACACAAAAAAAAAAAAAAAACTATAGAAATGTCATTATAATTTACATGTATATATATATATATATACTGTAGCAAATTTTTTTAAAATAAATATATATATATACCACCAACTTTTTCAATGTGAGGAAAAAATTATTACTTTTCTTGTATTTTAACGTTTATTATTAATATTAATTTTTTAGTAGTTAAACGTTAGGCAATCCATCATTGAGTACCAGCACCTATTTTTTTTTAGAAAAAAAGGCACTGTATATATATATATATACATATGGGAAGCGTGGTCGAGAGGCCAAGTGCGCTTAAACTTGGCTTGGCTTGGCTACCTAGAAGGGGGCTCGAGGTCCGACACCTGACTCTGGCAGAGTTGTGTTTACTGAGCGTCTAAAGGCAGCACGGAAAACCAATTCCTAGATACCCCCACTGGTCCACAAATGAGATTGGACCAAAGCGCTCTGAGCATGCTATAAGCATGAAAGTAGCGCTATATAAAACTATAAATATAAATATATATATCATGAATGGGTAAAGGTGATTATCTGGTACCTAAACCAAAATGATTCAGGCAGGGGAGGAATTCATTAACCTTGCTTGGTTATCCATCAAGAAGGAGAGCTCTTAAAACCTTTTATACTTTGAACATCAGGAGTCAACCTTGAAAAAAAAAAATTAGTTGTTGGGTATTACACTCTGGCAGCCCTTATCACGCTGCTAACCCCAAAACTGTTCTTCGCCCCAACAGTTATGTGGAGTCGGGGGAAACTGTTGTGCTGGCCACAATAATCCAACCATAACCTATGCTCAGGTGCTCGTTCTTCAAAATAAGCCACAGTACTTGTACGACTACAGAAGGTCAATATCTTTTGACTTAAAATTTAATCAAATGTTTTTAAATTAGAGAAATGTTGAAAGAAAATATGAAATGGATGTTATGCTAGTTACAAGAAGCTAGTATTTTACTTTGTTTTAAAGTTTCCTATGTCTCTTTGTGTTATTCCATACTCTCGACACATTCTTTCTGTTTGAGTTTTATCCAAAGTTTCAGAGATTGTTCTTTTTATAGTAGCATGAACGGATTTACTGTCTGGTGCTTCCTGTCAACAAACACAAAGAATCTTTTTTTTTTACTTTTCACTAAATTATTTAAATATCATTTGTTTTTTGTTTTTTAATTACAAAAAAAGGCTTTTATAAAGTGTACAGTTTGTAACAAAATAGCTTCAAAGACATGACTGAATGTTGGTTACTTGTCAAATGTAAGGGGGAAAGAAAAAACAACAACTTGGAAATCACAAACTATTTAAACAACTTTTATATAATTTTAAAAAGTCATAACACCTAACCTTCTAAATGAGAAACAATGAGGTCACCTGTGTTGGATTAGGGATAACTTTCAAATCTCTGACATAAAATGTCCTCATGAGATCATCTGTATCTTCTCTCATTGCAGTCTCATAATCTCTGATGTCCCGTGGGACATGCATGATGTCTATACAGCACTGGAATATAGATCCAGGTACTTGACGAGGTACATTCTCTAAGGCCCACTGAACACGAATAGGATCTGTCTGCCGGCAACAGTGAATAACATCGTACAGTCGCCGTGCCTGTTTAATAAGAAAGAAATAAAGACATTTTGAGACCAAGTTTTTACTTTAAGATGTACTAGTGCAAGGACCTAAAGACACTATTGAAATGAATTGTTTTGGAGCTGGTACATTAGGAAAATAAAAAAAGTTTCCAATTGGTAACCTTCTTCACACACAGAATACAAAAAAATGGTTATAACATAATTAGGGTAATGTTTTCAAGCTAAGCTTGAATGGTAAATATAAATAAAGTCTGAAGCTGAAACAAATAACATGACATAATAGCAGCACTGGAGTACAAGAGTTACTGACAGAAGGTGGTGAAACAAATAGGAAAATAGATAGTTCTGATGAGGACTTGAACCAATGACCTCCAAAAAGGCCATATCACCTGGCAGTGACCAGGTACTAAGCTAACCTACGTCTTGAACATCCCCATAACAAGAACCCAAGTCCGTAGATTTATCTCAACCTGCATTGT